TCTGCTTAGCGTGCGGCGGCGGCCCCGTCGAAACGCCATGCCTCCCAAGCTGATAGCATGTCGCTCTGCCTCGCGGGGCGCGGGCTGGGAAAAGCGCTTGGGGATGGGGATGTGCTTACCGTGTTGCGCCGGAGCGTGGTGGGCAAGAGCCAGGCAGCGCTAGGCGCTGAGTAGGAGTTCCTGGCCGTACAGTTTTCGGGGAGGCCCAAGCCCCCAATGTCGCGACTTGGTCACAACGCGGACCCCTGCAAGTCTCGACTGGCTCCCCAGGACCAGCTTCTCACCCCGACCCGTTTTTTGGCGGTTCATGGCCGAATATAGCAACACTCAAAACTCCTCGCCTGGATTGCTCACGACGCGAAGGTTTCTGCGGGCGGAGACGGGAGACAACGCGACCGTGAAAAGTATCGGGCCAAGCGCGGCTGGCACCACGGTGCGGAACGCGAAGGCCCGACGTCACGGACAAGCTGCAGCATCCGAGAAATCACAAACCGGAGCCATGCAGACCCCCATCCTCCTGCGTCATTTTTCGGGACGCATCGGTCTGTGATCGCCCTGGAGCCCGAGACGGGGCGCAGACGCCCGGCTCGAAGAAATTCCAGCGCACAGATCTCAGGGAACGCAGAGATTCGCTCTGGCGGGTGGTCGCCCCTCCTTACCACACACCCGTGGGCCTGGTCTTTTGTTTTGGGCCCGCTCTGGCGCGCGAGGCTGCAGGCCAGCGGCTGCGGAAGGGCCCAGCGCCGAGCCCTGCGCGTCACAGGGGGCCTGCGCTGGAAGCCGGGCGCCTCGAGCTGCGGCCCCGGAGCATGGCCTGCACCAGGGGCCGCGACGCCTCTAGATGAACCAGATACGGCATGGGCATTAGCCTAAGCTTTGAGAGCTCCACGCGGAGTTCTTGCATCTGCGCTGGGCCCCCGGCGCAAGAGGCGCCACCAAGCGGGTCCAGCGCAAATCCAAGAAATCCGCGCGGACCTTCGAGAGGATAGGTCTGTACAGTTGTGTCTTCTTCGAGCCTCCCCCCCGAGCCCGCACAGGTTCGCGAAGTGCAGGGGCGTGAGGAACTGGTTGCTGACGCCGAAGATTCGGCGGCGGCGGCAGCGGCGGGCAGCGCCCATGGCGGGGCATTTGCTCGCAGAATCCCTGGGACTCCAACCGCCGTGATGTGCCGGACGACGCTCGCGAACGAGCACGTAGTGATTGCCCCTCCCCGTTGCGTGTGGGAGAACGCCAGGAGGGAACAGGCTCAGGGTGGCGCCATCGACCTGGAATCGGCGATGAAGCGCCCATCTATCGACGATTGGCGCTCGATAGCGACTCCGCGCGCTCCTAGGCGGGGTTGGCTGTGAGGCCCCTGTAGGCAATCACGAGGCGGTTGCGGGTCGATGCATCCCCCCCTGGGCCGATCCCCCCCTAACGTTGACAGATCTCCGTTTTCGGGTCATGACTCGGGTCTCCAGTGGCCCCTCGGGAGACGATCCGGGCACCCTCGGAACGCCCTCGGCGAGGCGCAGCTGCTGGAGACTACCGCTGCAAAGACGAGCGAAGACGAAGACCCCCTCCCCACATGGGCCCTGCCCGCCCCCCGGTCGCGGCCCCCGAAGAAGTGCGGGAAGCGCCGCCCCGCACAGAGGCCGCCGCACTCGCTGGCGGGACAGCAGGCCCCGCCGAAGTCCTTGGGGACACACTACATGTCCGTCGGAAGCAATACAAAAGTAAGCACTTACGAGGATGAAATACATTGGGTTCAGGGCCTCCCAGAGAATAACAAAACACAGCACACGCATGCCGATTCTTGAAGTAGGAAGGCGCTTGACATAGATTGGGATCTGGAAATCCAGAAATGCCTACTTTCAAAGACCGGCGTATGCAGCAGAACGTATGATCACGAAAGGTATCACCTGAGAACTCTGGGCCAGCTTCCTGGGAGCCTCTTGAAACAGGCCTCGGCCAAGATCTGTTGTGAACGCCGGAGAGGCGAACGAGGTCAAGAAACTGGGCCAGTGTGCAAGAAGCTCGTGGAACTCCAATCGTGGATTCGCCATGGGCAACAGCACTAGGTCTTCAGATCCTCCCCAGTAGTGGAAACTATCTATCCGCTCGACGCCCTTATTGACGGACTCGGGTCCCACCAATGATGGGAAATATGTATTTCTCTGCGGCATCCGCCGCTCAACAACAACAACGACGACGACGACGACGACTACGATTACAAGGAGAAGCAGGAGGAGGACGAGGACCAGAGAGGAGGAGTAGGAGGAGCAGGAGGAGAAGAAGGAGGAGGAGGAGAAGCAGCAGGCGGAGGAGGAGGCACGAGTCTTATTCCCAGCCGCGAGAAACAGGGGGGGAGCAAAACAAAAGACCTCCTGCATTCTCACCGTCGCCCTCATCAGAGAAGGAATGGTCAAGGGTCTGAAGCCTCCCAGACACATTCCTCACCAACGCACCCGCCGTGTAGAGCACTAGCCTGGGTTAGCGCAACCCTGGTGGGCCAGGGCCCTGTCGAAGCCTGGCCGGCCGCCGGCAGTAGCTCCCATTTGCCGGGCCAGCGGAGGGCGGAGAGGGAGAATCGGCCTCGCGTGGCTCCCAAACCCGGGTCAGCCAGAGGGGGCCCTCTGAGATCCGAAGTCGAGGAAAATTGCAACATCGCCACCAATTACAGCCGGAGCCCTGGACCCCATCGTTCTTGTGTACTGTCCGAGCCAGAAACCAGACGAGAAAACGCCTGGCTCGAAAGAATTGAGACGCACACATCTCAGGGCCTGTTGGCGCTGACCCCCGTTGGTTACGTACGCCCCGCCCCGCCGAAGTCCCGCCTGGGGAACCCAGGTCAGCCAGAGGGGATTGGCAGACCCCTGTTAGCGCTGATCCTTCTGTGACAACACATGGGAGCCTCCCATGTCAACTTGCTGGCTCTAGCGAACCGACGCTCCAATTGACGCTGATCGACGCGAGTCGGCGCTTTTCGTCGCGAGTCGATAATACATCGACGCTGATCGACGCTAAATCGGCCCTCTCATCGACTGACGAACGCTACCGCACGCAAATGCGCTCTGAAGACGGAACTTCCAGGAGATACAAGTCTCCCGTGAGATGTTACCGAATGGTCCACGGAACGTGAGCCCCGAGCACCCGCCCGTGAGCATTTTTCGAGCCCGATCGGTCTGTGAGGGCCTCCGGGCCCGAAACTGGGTGAGAAAGCGCACGGCTCGAAAGAATTGGGACGCCAGGATCTCCCTAGACATATGGCGTCTCGATTTTTCGAGACACAGGCTCCCAACCTCTCGACCACTTCCCTGGGACTGGTTTCTCATTCCGAACCGTTTTCTGACTGTCCCAGGGCCTGGCGAGGCCGAAATTCGGAAAAACAGAAAACGTCGCGATCTTTCCATGATCCAAGAGGTCTGGGATCTCTGGGCCCGTTGGTGCTGATTATGTGAGCCCCGCCGACCCAAATCACTGGATATCCGATACTGTCGGTCGCGACCGATGGCAATCGATTCCAAAATCGCTCGCGACTGGTCGCGACCGATCGCGACTGATTTTACCGCAGATCGGTCACGACCGATACCAGAATTTGAAGCAAAATCGGTAGCGACCGACCTCGTCGGTCACGACTGGAAAATTCCAGTACCCAGTGATCAGAAAATAGATCCAGGCCTCCTAGATGTTCCGGAGTAGATGACGTCAGAAGGTCGCGCCGCATGGGCCGCATCGCCGACGCATTGGCGATGCGGCTCGATGTGGAGCTCGAATTTCTCCACGCCGACGTTGGTGATGCATCGCCGACGTCGCCGATGCATCGCCGATGCATCGGCGAGACATTGGCGATGCGGTGCGACCCCCTGACCCCAGCTACTCGGACCCCACCCATAGGTGGCCTCCAGCTGAGACGCCCGGATCTCAAGGCCCGTTGGCGCTGGCTCCCGCTACGCGAGCCCCGCGGAGGTCCCGGCGCAGCGCGGCGCCAGGCCCCGCGGCCGCTGGCGCGCCGGGCGCCGAGAGGAGCTCGGCCTCCGCGAGCAGGGGCCGCACAGGCGCGCCGTCGCCAGGCGGCATGCGCATGCGAACGTAGAACAGCTCCCCGTCCACGGCCGTGGAGGGAAGCGCACGATGTCGAGGGATCTTGTCGACGCCAATCCTGGTCGTGGTCCGTGCTGGGCATCAAATTCGCGAAGCTGGTCCACAAATTGACGATGACCGAGATGGACGATGGTCAAGATCGACACCGACGTTTTCGCGTTCAGTCTTTGCCCCCCAGCGCTATACTCGAGTCGGCCTGAGAGAACAGCTCCCCGTCCACTGCCGCGGCGGGAAGGAAAAGAAGGACCGCGTCGGGTCATCAAAAAACAGGACGGGAGATTGTTCGTCGTCTTGGGCCTCTGGGGGCCCTCGCTGGGCCCCGGGACCGTCAAAAAACGACTCGGCATGTAAAACTGGCCCGAGGGAAAGGGTTAGGACTTCTGGGGACTCCACATAAAAAAAAACAGGACATCGCATGTCTGGGACGACTTCGGGGAATTCAAATTCGGCTTCCCTAATCACTCAGATCTCCCTGGCCGACTCGATTCTAATCGAATTCGACTCCCAAGAACTTTGAGCTGCTTCAGATGTGTTTTTGTTTTTGTGTTCTCTTTGGAGCCGCATTCGACTTCCAAAAGCACGCGGCTTTTGTGGAAGTCGACCTCGACTCCCGAAAACACGCAGTTCTCTCAGGCCGACTCGAGTATAGCGCTGGGGGTCAAAGACTGAACGCGAAAACGTCGTTGTCGATTTTGACTATCGTTGTCGATCTTGACTATCGTCCATCTTGGTCATCGTCAATGTTTGGACCAGCTTCGCGAATGGGCGATGGCCGGCATGGACCATGACCAAAATCGGCATCGACGAAATCCCGCGACATCTGGTTCATGATCATCGTGCGCTTCCCTCGATGCGGGCTCGCTCTCCGGGGCCTGTGGCTCGTAGCGTATGCCAAGGTGCAAGAAGGTTGGGGGACGTCAGCTGTCCAACTCGCCGATCGTGGACGGCGGGCCAATCATGGGCACGGGATCGGCGTGCATGCCTCTCCGGCCAGGCCAGCAGGGCGCGCCCTACCATCCTTTGGACGCGCGCGGAGTGCTACCAGCCTGTCGGCTTCCCAAAGGCGGTGCCGAGAAATACAATAGCTCATTATCCCAGTGCGACCCTACGTAGGAGTTGGAGCCCCTAGGAAAGCAGCATTAGTAGTAACTGTAAAATTGAACTAAAGCTAAGCTAAAGCTAAGCTGAAGCTAAGCTAAAGCTAAGCTATAGCTAAGCTAAATATAAGCTATAGCTAAGCTGAAGCTAAGCTAAAGCTAAGCTAAAGCTAAACTAAAGCTACGCCAAAGCTAAGCCAAAGCTAAGCTAAAGCTAAGCTAAAGCTAAGCTGAAGCTAAGCTAAAGCTAAGCCAAAGCTAAGCCAACGCTAAGCTAAATCTAAACTGAAGCTAAGCTGACATTAAGCTAAAGCCAAGCTGAAGCTAAGCAACAGCTAAGCAAACACTGAACTAACGCTAAGGTAAAGCAAAGCTAAAGCTAAGCTAAAGCTAAGTTAACGCTACGCTAAGGCTAAGCTAAAGCTAACTAAAGCTAAGCCAACGCTAAGCTGAAGCTAAGCTAAAGCTAAGATACAGCTAAGCTAAACAAGGCTTCTAAGCTAAAACTTCTAAGCTAAAGCTAAGCTAAAGCTAAGCTAAAGCTAAGCTAAAGCTAAGCTATATCTAAATTAAAACTAAGTTAAAGCTAAGCTAAAGCTAACCTACAGCTAAACTAAAGCTACGCTACAGCTAAGCTGAAGCTAAGCTAAAGCTAAGCTAAAGCTAAAGCTAAAGCTAAAGCTAAAGCTAAAGCTAAAGCTAAAGCTCCCAGGGGACTGGGGGAACCGCGGGCCAGGTCCTGGGGGAACCGCCCGGGGCGGGGAGCACTGCCCGGCCCTTTTAAGCAAACACAGTAAGAACCCTTCTAGGCAGAGCCTAGGTAGGGAAAAACAAGAATCTCCTTGGTCCTTGACCTCCCGAGCATTTCCAGCAGCTCACGAGAACTCGAAGTCCCAGAAATACCGCGGAAGGCAATTGCGGACGGCTATCGTATTCGAAATCGCAGATGGGCCATCCCAGGACCGGGATGGGCCTGGCCAGGATCGGTGAGGTGGGCAGCTGGCGCCCCCCGAAAAGGGCTCCGTCCCCTCTCGGAAGTCCCTCAGCACGAACTCCATGTCGCGGCGGGGGTCGCGCGGATCGTAGAACGAGCAGAGGTTCTCCGCGCGGCAGATCGCGAGCGTGTCGCGAAGGCAGCGCATGGAGAGCTCCGGGTCCTCGGCCGCGTCCGAGGCGACGATGCGCCCGAGCCGCCTCCGCAGCAGCGGGAGGACGCCAAGGACCTCGAGCAGTCCGCCGTCAGAGATGTACAAGTAGGGCGGGGGGCGCACCGCTGTGTGGCGGTGCATGCACAGCATGAGCATCTGCTGGATCATCGGGCTCCGCATCAACCACTCGAGCGGCTTCATGTGTGCGAAGAAGCTCAGGGCCGCCACTGCCGACGCCACGAGGACCATGGCAGACAGGAGCGCCTTATAAGCGAGGCACGCACTAGCCGAGCCAGGTCCACTCCCCATGCCCACCGTGGCGCCAATCAGAAGCAGTATGTGGGCCAAAATGAACACGCATGCTGCTGGGAGACGGTCCAGGAGGCCCTGCAGCCACCGAGATATCACATGCTGATCGCGCATCGGGAATGACTGATTGAGGGGGTACGCATCAAGCACCCGGGTTTGCACCCTGGTGCACATGGGTCCTTCTGGCTCCAGCCTCAGGAAATCCCCGAAACGCAGCGCGACGACCGCCAGAAAGAAGCGTATCGCCAGCACGTCGGCGTACAGCAAGAATGTGGCATCAGTTGCGGCGCCCGCGATGGTCATGAGCCGGGCAAGGCTGGCGTTTGCGGGAGTTCCGAAGAAGCCCGTCCTAGCGCAGCCGATGTGCAACGAGGACATGGTGAACTGGCAGTGGTTTGCGTCCTCCCAGGGCTTCCTGTAGTCGTGGACACAGGCGCCAAAAAGCAAGTTTGGGCAGTACGGATTGCTCGCGATCGCGGAGAACTCCACGTCCTGCCCGCCGTCGAAGAAGGCTCTCTTCAGGGCCCGCCGATAGTAGAGAAAGAAGAACGACATTGACATAAACTGTTGGGGGTCCGCGCGGATTTCTTGGGTCGGCGCTGGGACCCCTCACTGGCGCGCGGAGCTCCACAAGTTTATGTGAATGCATCTTTCCTCCTCGAGATAGTACATGTGCGCGAGCTTCTGGAAGGCGTCGTACATGGGCAACGTGAGCAGCGCCCCCGCCGTGAAAACCCAGAGACAGATCGCCGCGGCCTCGTGGCTGAAGTGCAGGGAGGGGACCAGCACCTGTGGTTGGTTTGTGTTGTTTTGTTTGCCTCGTTGCGTGCTCACTCGTTCCCTACCCAGGCTCTGCCTAGAAGGGCTCTTACTTTAGAGCTTAAAGGGGCTCGGCAGTGGGCCTCGCTCCGGGCGGTTCTCCCAGGAGCCGCCCCGCGGTTCCCCCAGTTACGTCCCCTTAGCTTAGCGTTGTTTATCTCATCTTAGCTTAGCTTATGTCATCTTAGCTTAGCTTAGCTTCATCTTAGCTCAGGTTTAGCTTAGCTTAGCTTACCTTCATCTTAGCTTCGCTGAGCTTTAGCATAGCAGAGCATAGCATAGCGTAGCATATAATAGCGCAGCATAGCATATCCTAGCATATCATAGCAGAGCGTAGCAACGCATAGCGCAGCTTAGCATAGCATAGCATAGCAGAGCTTATCATGGCATAACACAGCGCATCATAACATATCATGGCTTATCATAACGTATCATATCATATCATATCATATCATATCATATCATAGCGCATCACCTCATAACATAACATAACATATCATAGCATAGCATAGCGCAGCATCGCACGGCATAGCATAGCATAGCAACTAATGCTGCTTTCCTAGGGGTTCCAACTTCTAGGTCCGTGGCGTCCCTAGTACCCAACAGCGGGGGGGGCATCAAAGTGGTCGCCGAATGGTCGCCCCTATGGTCGCCCGAATGGTCGCCAAAAACCGATATGGTAACCCATATGGTCGCCCAAATGGTCGCCAAAAATCGATATGGTAACCCATATGGTCGCCAAAATGGTCGCCAAAAAAAAAATACCACCCAATGTGGTCGCCAAGATGGTCGCCAGAAAAATAATCACAATGCCGCACGGCGGCACAACGTGATCGCCCTGAAGGAAAGATTCGAAAGCCCGCCGTCGCCTGCGTGTTCGCCCCAACAGGCATTACCGTGCCACGTGGCGAATGCTTGTCACCGCCAACATGATTCGGAGCAATACCGTCGCTGGGAGTGTTGCCCTCATGCTGGTGTCGTCTCTTCGTGTTGCCGCGTTGGTTGCACTGTGTTGTTTGTGTCGTTGGCTCTACGAGTTGTTCGAGCTGTGCCGCGCGAGCCAGTATGGTCGTGGCCGCGGCAGCGGCAGGGGTGATGACATAAAGGTTGATAGTGACAAAGGGCAGCGGCAGTGGAAGGGGCTGCTGCGATGGTAGTGGTAGTGGCCATAGTCTCTGGTTTCTGCGGCGGTGGCATTGTGGGCCGCACGAGAGCCCTGGAGTGGAGTCCGTGCTTGGCAATGGTCATGGTCGTGATCCGTGCTGTGACACTTCCACAGGCCGCGGTGCAGCTGGAGCGGGTGGCGTCGCGCCTTGTAGGCGTGAGTTGGCGCACCATTGGTGGCGGTAGGTTTGCTGGTCGTGGCTATGGTTGTTGCGAAGGTGAACGTGGGTGTTCGGGGTTGCGGTTGCGGTGGTGGCACTGCGCTCGCAGCAGCATTGCCACCAATAGCCGCTAGCAGTAGTAGCTGTGAGCCAACAAACGAAAAGGGCAAAGGGGAGGAGGAGAGGAGCGAGGAGGAAGAGGAGGAAGGGGAGGGGAGTCGCCCCTCGCCTCCCTCTTTCTTAGTCGTCCTCCCTGCTCCTTCCCTGGTCGTCCTCCCTTCCTCCCCCCCCCCCTCTTCCTCCTCCTTCCTCCTCACTCCTTTCCGTCCTTCTCCTTCCTCCTCCTTCCTCCGCGGCAGCAGCGGGCGGCGGCGGTAGCAGGAAAGACGATCTCATGCTTTCCAAGCAATGGGTATGTAGCCGCAGGCTGCGGCAACTCGTTCCTGTCACAGTGATCAGCAATCGCCTGAAACAATCGTGTGTTCATTAATCTGTGTTGGTATGTATTGTTGGGTATTCATACTTCTCTCGTGCGTGCATATATCATGAACATACCAGCGTGCACAATCACGCGACCAGGCGGGCCATGAGTGAAGCTCGCTCGCCAAGGGCCGCGGTCGACAGCACAACTCCAGAGTCGGCACCGCGAGAACGCACAAGCAACATACTCGTATAGCTTAAAACACACATCACTGAGCCCGTTTTGCTGTCGCCACCTACGGTGGGCAAATCGGCTTTTTGGGCTCTGCCTTGCGCTTGACATCAGCCTTCTCCTCAAATATGCGCATCAAACCCTTCGGGATGAGACTGCTCTCCTTGGAGCTGAGGTTGCTGAGGTGGATCTTGATGTTCCTCTTGAGCTTCAGCGGGGTGTCGGCGAAGTCCCTGCAGCACACGAGCATGAGACACTCAGCCTGGGTCACCTTGGCGCGGCCAAGCTTGGTAGCGATGTCTTCCACCGCAGCGTGGCGGCCCTCGTCCTTGTCGCCGTGGAGATCGCGGCTGTTCTTGGCCGCCGCAAGCTTCACCGACACCACATCAATCGCAGTCTTGAGCGCCGAGGGCCGACAGATCTTGAAGATGCTCTCCTTGGCCTTCTCCAAGTACTGGTCGAGGGTCGTGGCGTCATTGAGGCCGTCGTGCCACAAGCCCTCATCGACGCCCGTGGTGATGGAGTGCGAGAAGTGTTTCTCGCATGCCTGCAGGGCGTCTTCGACCTGATAGTTGCAATCAAATGTGGCCACCTCCAAGGCCAACTCTTGCACCTGCGCGTGCCAACGAGTGAAGAAGTCCAGCTTGATCTTTGCACTCGCCTGGGTGGCCCTCCAATCGCGGCCGCCCTGTCGCCGACGCGCGCGACCTTGCCCCCACCTGCCCCTCCGCAGAGGCCAGCTGTTTGAGTGAACAGGAGGGGTGAGGGCGAGAGGAGGCGAGGAAAGTTGGAAGTGGATGGAGAGCGAGGGAGAGCAGGGGAAAAAGGGAGGGGAGGGAAGGAGGGAGAAGGGAGGGGAGAGGAGGGGAGGGGAGAACGTCGAGAGGGGTGGTTGGGATGTTGCGGAAGGGAAGGGGGAGGCACAGCCGCGCGCATCAGTTATAGGGCAGCCGCAAGATCGGTGCCAGTGGGCCTCAGTCATGGCCGCACTCGCGGCAACGAATTGGCCGAGCTCCGACGTGCCCTTGCTGCGCTGCCACATGGCCTCCGCCGTGGCTCCGTGCTTCTTGAAGCCCACGACCGCCACGAGGTCCCACTGGATGTTGGACAACTCGGTCAGGCATACTTTGAACTGCACCATCTGCTCTGACAAATCCCCCTTCAAAGCGATGAGATCGAGACCAAGATCGCACACCAACCGAATGTATTCGAGCACGGCCTGAATCATATTCATGTCCTCGCCACTCCCCATGGCAATCATCACTTTGACCATGAACTGGTCGATGCTGTCTGACAGGTCCTCAGGTAACGACTGCACGCCGAACTCGATGTACGCCTTGACTTGGGCATGAAGAGATTTGATGTCAGCAGCGCGAGTCTCGCGCTCAGCATCGCATTGGAACGCTCGCATGCACTTGATCATCGTGCCGACGTGGTTTCCAATGTTGTTCTCCTGCTGGATGCGCACGACATAACTCGAGAACAAGTCTCGCTTCGGCAGCGCGAAGGACATCTGAGAGGTGATATCCACCAGCCCCTTGAGCTCAGCACTCCTCTCGGGCGGGAACCTGCCCTGCTCGATCATATCTGGAAGGCTGCCCGTGATCTGGAGTGTAGCCTGCTCGGCCTGGGATCTGAGCTTGGTGCCCTGGCCCTTCCGAAGCTTACCGTGCGTCTGCTTAATGAGATTCCACGCCTGCATGATCATGGTCATGTCATCCTGGAAGCTGTACTCGGTCTTGCTGGACAGCTTCTGCTCATACTCCTCCAGGCGTGGCAAGTAGGTCTCGCAATCCTTGCGAGTGCGAATGAACTCTCCAAGAAGCGCCTTGTAGTGAGAAATCTGCTTCATGGCCGTCAATACGTTGGACATCCCGCCTTGCCCTGTCGACTCTTGCAAGCGGTCGTAGTCTTTCGAGGTGGCATTGTACTCCTTGAGCTTCACGGTGTCTGTTTCCATCACAACCAGGACCGCCCGAAGCATAGACATCATCTGGTCGGCGTGGTCCTCGTAGACCTCGAAGTCAATATGCTTGCTGTCAGAAGCAGCCGTGATCATGTCCAAGACCACGTGGACGACTCGCAGCAGCGAGTCATGGGAGGGCGCGCCATCTCTGATCATGGGCGCGAGGATCTTCGAGATCAAGCACTCCCGCAACCTCTCCATCTTCTCGGAAGGGCTGCCCTCGATGTGCCGAGCGAGGGGGTTCTCGGGGTCGAAGCTGTCCACGCTGCCCCCGTCCGAGGGCCACGGAGTGATCATGCTCAGGAGCTGCGCGGCCTTGTCTTCGATGCTGTGCTGAAGCTGCGTCCAATCACGCAATGCTCGGGACATGCAGCTAAGCTTCGCAGACGTAGGAAGGTCGACGTTGTGCTTCTTGAGGTCAGCCGCGAACGAACCAAGCTCCTCGTCCGATGCATTGAGCCAGCCTTGCTCGGTAGAGAACTGCTCGCACTGCTTGTGCAAGTCGTGGTGCTCCTTCATCATGACTGCCTCCTCTCGCCCCATGTTCTCGGCCTCCGTGATGTATCCCTTCAGCGTGTTCCTCTCCCTGCCGTGGCCGCCAGGTGTCCTCCCAGCGAGGGCCTTCGTGAAATTGACCTTTGACAGCTGCAACACCCACTTCGCTTTGATAGGGTCGCTTTTCAGGAGATCTGCGACATCGGGCATGCACTCCTGAACGCTCGGGTCCGGAAGGCTGTCCAAGGATTTTGTTCCTGACAAGGCCCGGAGTGCTTGGCCGCTCGAGGGAGGCTTCTCTGGGGTCACAGCAGCAGGCTCGGCCCCAACGGACAGGATGTCAGCGTCTTTCTCGAACTCGTCAGCCTCGAACCTCGTGGAGGGGCCCCGACCATCGTCGAGCTGACTGGAGTCGTCATGCAGACTGAGGGCGCGAAGCTCCGCATCCTCTTCCTCCTGCTTTTGGCGCTCCGCCTCCTTCTTATCTGCCTCCTTCTTCGCAGCCCGAGACAACAAGGTACTCATAGAAATGATAGTGCTGCCGCTGGGGTCGAGCTGACCGTGGAATTTGCCCGTGGCACTCTCGTATACCAAATCGCATTGCCCATCGTGAATAGTAGAGGCTGGGCGGGCCAAAAGATTCGACAAACTCAACATCTTGGAGAACTCGAATGTGAACGTCCGAGGGGCTCCTTCAAGATCGCTTGTGAGAACGCCCAAGGTGGGCGTGCCGAACTCGTCCCACAGCTTGAAGCACTTGTACCCGAGCTGTTCTGGCATATATTTAAAATTGTTAAAGATCTCAGGGCGAGTCCAGAAGCCAAGGATACGCTGGCAGGAAGCCTTCTGCTCAGAGCTATCCTCGACCTGCTTCGGAGAGAATCTGTCTACCTCGATCTCGTTGTCAACCAGGTACTTCGAGGAGTCGTCGAAGGCCTTCCTGAATGATGGGTCGTCGCCGTACTTCGTTCCAGCCTCCTCCTCTGTCATGTACGCGTACCCGATGGCCCATGGCTTGTAATGGACTGGGCAGCATATCTTGTTCTCCCTCTTGTCACTCGCAGTCAACTTCTTGCCGCAGGTGCCAAAGCAGCAAACCGACCTTGACTGACGAGCAATCTTGGCAGCTTTCTCCTGCTGCTCCTTGGCATCCTGGGCCTTTGACTTCCTCTTCCTCGGGGCTCCACTCACTCCAGTAGCCACGGTGTCAGCGCCCAGGGTCCTGACCGAGCCAGCGTCGTCATAGTCGTCACCGCCCTGGCTTACAGCCGCACCGCCGAGCTGCCTCTCGACAACCTTGCGGGCGAGCCTCTCCCTGGCCGTCGCCATGGACGTGGTTCCAGTGCGAAGAGCGACCAGGGAACTCGGTTAGGACCTCACCTGCAGCAACACAGAGCAGAGCCAAAACGGCTGCGTTTTCACGCGTGTTGTTTGTTGTTAGCAGAGTGTTCAACGTGCATGCTATGCCAGCTGCGCAATGCAATGCCATGCTGTGCATTGTGATGCTATGCTATGTGCGTGCCGTATGTTGCACTGCTGTGCGGTGCATTGATTGTGCAATGCTGAGCAACGCAATGCTATGCTATACTATGGTATGGCCACGGCACGGCACGGCACAGTTGGCGCACTATGTAATTGTTATGCCGTTGGTTACGCCATACACATTGGGGCACCATGTTTATCGTAGCACCATGTCTATACTCTAGACAATTCGCTTGGGCGTCGTTTCTGGAAGGGCTGGCGCTGACAGGGATGCGCGAAGCGCAAATAATCATCGAAGGCAACGCCCAGCGCATTTGAGACTTGTTTCAGACTTGTTGACGAATGTTCGAGGCCTGTGCTTGGACGTGTTAAGACCTTGTTGGTACTTGTGTAGGACTGGTTTGGGGCCTGTCTGAGACTTGTTTGGCACGTCCTTGAGGTTTGCGTCGTTCTTGTTTGAGACTTGTGTATGGTTTGTTGCAGACATGCTTGGGGCTTGTGCTGGTACTTGTTCGAGACGTGCTTTGTTCCAGCTCCTCGGCTACCCCCCCCTTTTTGCCACGCCCCCCTTTCGATCGCTTTGGTTTCCTACACCTCCTCCTCTTCCTCTTAACTTCTGTGTGGGGGGGCCTCTGGACTGCACCACTTCCTCTTCCTCTGTCCCCCTCGGGGCGCAACTCGGCGCTGGTGGGGTGGGCGGCATCCCCATGCCGTCCTCCGAGGATGCTCGACTCACCACCCTCCAGGGACGCTCGACCCTGCCTTCCAGGGGAGCAAGCACCCCTTGCCGCCGTCCAGGGACGCTCGACTCACGGACGAGGGAGAGGGCGAGGTTGGTGAGCAGGATGATGGAGAGAGCGGGGATGGAGGGTGCGAGGGCGAGGAGTGCGAGGATGAGGAGTGCGAGGGTAAGGAGAGCGAGGATAAGGAGGGCGAGGAATTTATTTGGCCGTTGGCTAGAGCTAGATCAATACTCGTAACATCGAGGGCCCGACGAGGGACCGACAAGACACGAAACGAGGGCCAAGAGGGACCGAACGGCGGAGGGACAACGACCGAACAGGAAACCGAGGCCCGAAGCATAGAGGGAACACCCAAGCAAGAGCGAATGATGGTGACGATGATTGTGATGGTGGTAATGATGACGACGATGGTTCGGATGACACTGATGCTGAGGATGCATATGACGAGACTGACTATGGTAGACATGATGGTAACGATGTTGATACAACAAGTGATGATGGCCATGGTGATGATGAGAAAGATGCTGTTACTGACGATGTTATGATTACGATCGCTATGGCGATGACGATGGTGGCGCTGACGATGGTGATCATGACTAGGACAATGGTGTAGAGTTCAAGGCCGATGACTGCAACGAGAACGGTTAGCAGTGTGATGTTGATGATGATGATGTTGTTGATGCCGATATTGATGATGGTTGCGCTGCAGAGCAGGGTGGCAGCTATACACAATATGATAACAATTACGGCAATGGAGATGGTAATAGTAACGGTATTGATGGTGGTATGAATGTTGCTGACCAGGATGACGGTGAGAATTGTGAAGAGGATGGTGGTAACGACGATGATATTGCTAACGAGTATAATGGTGGTGGTCATGAGAAGGAGGAGGGGGCCGAGGTCGATGATGGCGATGTTGGTTGTAATGATGATGTTGGTCTCTTGGATGCTGATGATGGCGCTCATGGCGATGATGACGGTGATGGCGAGGATGACGCCTTGTCGGCCCCAGTATCGAGAGGCACCGCCGTCGAGGTGTCATTCGGCCCGCCTCGGACTGAGGAGAGGAACAGGGCTACCGAGGAGCAACGCTACTCGCACTGCAGCTACCGAGGAGCAGCGCCACTCGCACCGAGCTGCCGAGAAACTCGTAGAGCAGAGCAGCGCTACTCGCACAGAGCTGCCGAGAAACTCGCACCGAGCTGCGGAGAAACTCGCCGAGGAGCTAGCCAGTAGTGTCCGTGTCCGTCGAGATCTCGTCTTCCATCCTCCGGACGATCGTCTCGGTCCACTCGTTGCTCTCATGCTCATCCTTCAATGCCTGCTCGCTCTCGAGCTTGATGCGGTTCATCCGCACCTTCAAGGCCCTCATGCGGTAGCCCTGCCTCTTGATGATCATGTTTTTGATTTTGATCGTCTTCAGAAGGCGCATCACACGCAACCTCGTAGTCGGCGAAGAGCGGCGCACCCACAGCGCCTTGGAAGGCGTCGTCAGCCACGGCTGTTTTTTGGGTGCCATCGCTGCTGGTCGCGCTGGAAACAGGGCCGAGAGGTTCAAGGCAAAACAAGCCAGTCCGTCAAACGGCTCGGGTTTCGAGACGCAAACGATTACGGAACGTGTTGTTGTTTTGCGGTTGTGCCATGTTTGTAGTTGTGTTGTTTCCAACGTCATTCGTGCTTGTTTGTGCGTGTTTGGATATATGGTTTGTGAACGTTTGCATTGTCCAGTCGTTCGTCCCCCTGTGTTGTTGTCTTGCAAAGGGTACCTACATGATTTCGTGCCACTCATGTGTGTTACGTGTGACAGTGCTTCCGATTGGATGTGTTGTTTGGAGGGCCTCTTATTTAACTTATTAGTTATCATCTCACACATAGTGGCACGCGCAATGGACACGCCTCGCCATATTTTCCAGCACAAAAGAACCCCGCTGACTAGGATCCGATGAAAGCGAACAAGATACACACGCAACGTAGATGTGTGCGGGGAACAGACGAATGAGTTACGCATCGATGGGTGCGCGGTTTTGCGGGAAACCCAAAGGGGAAGATGCTGAAAAAGAGCGCACGAAGACACCACCGAAATTCAATGTAAGGCGTGTGTTGTTTTGGGGCCCTGAAGCGACTTGTTGTGAGCATCCGCAATAACAAGCGTTCGCGAACCTTACTTATGCATACCAAGGGGCCTCCCAACGACCCTCTAGGGTTTCTTAGGTTGCCATCCAGGAACCCTTGTGGCTTCTTAAGGGCGGTCTGGAAGCCCTTCGGGGCTTCGTACAACACCCTCCAGACACCTACGGGGGCAGAGTCTTGATGGGGCTCACCAAGGATACGACAGAACTTCTTAATGGGGCCCACCATGGTACTTTACGGCCTGCCAGGGCTGCTCCAGATACCCCAAGGGCCCGTGAGAGGTCGCCCGATACCCTTCAGGGTCGTGAGCGGGCCTTACAGGTATGTTGAAAAGCATCCAGGAGAATCGCCAGGAATCTTGCGGATGGCATCTCAATGTGGCCCTCGGGAGACCCTTCAGGACATTCCGCGGGCCCCTTGGGGAACCTGATAAGGACCTTGTTGCTCTCCAGAAGCGGTCAAGGTCTTCTGGGCAAGACGACCAAGAGACTTTCCAAGGGGGTCTACAGGTGCCCCTGAAAGCCCCATTCTGAAGATCCGATTGCCCTTGGCTGGCCCCTCAGCTGCAACGATTGCCAACACTAGCCTGGCAAAAGACCCAACGATAGGCAGGTGGGAGCACCGTTGTTGCCAATGGCGCATTCGGTGGATCTCCCTGCGGGGCCGCGAAACGTTCGCTGGGCGGGGGGGCGCATGCGCGCGCCGCCACGGGGGCCCCAGGCGGAACCCCCTGTGATGGGGCTACGAAGCGCTGTGCTGGGCGCGGGAAACGCATTCGAACGCCGCCTCTGGGGCCTTAGGTGGGGCCCCCCTGTGGGGCCGCGAAACGCCGCGCTGGGCGGGGAAGGCGCGTGCAAACACCGCCGCTGGGATCTTTAGTGGGGCTCTCGATGGGACCGCGAAACGTCGTGCTGGGTGGGTGAGACGCATGCGAACAGCGCCACTGGAGCTAAAGGTGGACCCCCCTATGGGGCCGCGAAAGGCTGCGCGGGGCGGGGCGGGGGGGCGCATGCGAACGCGGCCATTGGGGCCTTAGGTAGAGCCCCGTACGTGGCCGCGCAACACTGTGCTGAGTCGGGGGGGGGCGCATGCGAACGTCGCCATTTGGGCCCTGGATGGGGCTCAGCACGGGGGCGCGAAGCGATGTTCTGAGCAGGGGGGGGGGGGGGGGGGGGGGGGGGGAGGGGGGGGGGGCGCGCGTGCGAACGCCGCCGCCGAGGCGAAGGGCGGAGCCCCCTATGGGGCCACGAGACGTTCACTGGGCGGGTGGGGGCGCATGCGCACGCCGCCACGGGTGCCTTAGGTGGGGCCCCATGTGGGAACGCGAAACGCGCTGTTGGCTGGGCGAGGCGCACGCGAACGCCGCTGGCGCCTTAAGGCGGCGCCCACGGGGCCACGAAGCGCGGTGCTGGGCGGGGGGAGGGGGGGGGGGGGAGGAGGAACACCGCCACTGGGTCTTATGCGCGGCCCCTGTGGCGCCACGAAACGCTGTGCTTGGTCGGGGAAACGCAGGCGCGCATCGCCGCTGGGGCCTCTGGTGGAGCTCCCTACGGGGCCGCGAAACCTTCGCTGGGCGGGGGGTGGGGGCGCATGCAAACAGCGCCGCTGGGGCGAAAGGCGGGGCCCAAGACTGGGCCACGCAACGCCGCGCTGGACGTGGGTGGGTGGGTGGGTGGGGGGGGGGGGGGACATGCGAACGCCGCCGCTGGAGCCACACGACACGCTGTTCTGTGCGCGACGGGGGAGGGGTGCATGCGAACGCCGCCGCTGGGGCCTTGCGTGGAGCTCTCTATGGGGTCACGAAACGCTGTGTTGGGCGTGCCGAATCAGAGACATGCGGTGAGCAGGCGCAAGGAGGGGGCCGAGGGAAGAAGGGGGAGGAAGAAGGGTGAGGGGCGCGGGGCGCTGCCCCTTCAAAGTGAAGGCCCAGCAACACAGGATGGTTGGGCAAAAAGCTAGAACGGGTGCCCTCCA